TAAAGAGAGCATTAAAAGATGTATGTGTACATTTAATTAGTCCAGGAGCAGGGATAATCCCAGCCGCTAAGACACGTTTATTGAAACTAATGCAAGACAAAAATACATCTTAAAAATCTGATGTGATAAAAAGACTGTTAAAACATTAAATCAGTTCCTTGTAGGTTTTCTTTAAAGCATGTCACAAATCCTGTGATCGAATAATTCTATTTCATTTTTCCCTCTTCTCCCTTTTCCTTTCCCCATTCGCGGCAGTCCCTCGCAGCCTGTTTTGCTGCCCAGATGAACGGAATGAGTGAAATCCTCGACGGTTTTCCCTGGTTTCCAAGTTTTGTCCTCAATTGGATATGACAAATGAAAAATACCATGAACAAATATAAATACACAGATGTTTTCCCACCCACTGAAAAGGCGAGTCCCAGTGCTGGGTGTCAGGATTGTCCGAGGGACGTGTCCAAAGGGAGGTATCTGTGGGTTGCCGCCAGATTCATCCATCCCACGAGGAGGTTTAAGTGTAACGCTGGAGCACTGCTGCAGCAGCGAGGTACAGAGAGGAAAATGTACCTCCCTGTTCTGCCCAACGTGTGACCAATCCCTCAGGTGGCCTCACTCGTCCCTTCAATCATTTTTTGCCGTTGCAGCTCAGTCCGAGCCCACAGACTGCAGCTCAGTCCAGTCTGTGTCAGCTGGTGATCCACGGCTGAATCCGGGCCCTGCTCCCTCCCCTTTGCCCTGTCCATGACAGCACGCTGTGGTGTGACCTGTTGTGGGCCAGCAGCACGTGATGCTGAGCCCTTGCCACGGGTCCCTCAGCAGCTCTGATGGCCGATGGGCTCTGCTCAGGGCTCTGCAGGAGGATGGCCCTGCAGCAGCATCCCTCTTACTGAGGGACCGGGGCTGGGGCCAGGCTGGCTTCAAGGGCAGGCAGGTATTTCCTATGGTGGCCAGGCTGGGGAGCCCCCATGGACCCAGGGTGAACACAGGGACCTTGCCTTGGCACACACCTTTGAGCCGCACAAGCTCCCCCGAGTGCCTGATTTACTTACCTCCACCTTCATTTTTATTTACTGTTTGCTAATCCTGTTAACGGAATGGGGAAAGAAAAGATTAATTCACTTTGACTCCAATGACTTGTTAATAATTGATGTATTGACAAGAGCAGGCTGCCCGATGACCTTAAACAGCCACCCAAATCCTGTGTCGAGCTGTTTGACCTTTTAAGCCAGTTCAGGTTCTTCCTGCAGAAGAAACCAGTGTCCGCTTTGATTTAGTGCAGGAAAATCCCCCTTAACCTTCAGGTGTCGGTGAGGATGTGTTTAATTTACAGTAAAGCCAAGTCATGATCACCAGGAGAATGAAAAAGTCCTTCTGTGGTGGGAAGTTATTACCACTCCCTCCACGGTGATGATCTCCCCAGCTCAACAAGCCAATACCTCTTTAATTATTGAAAGGAAGCTTCAAGGGGAGGTTGGGGAGCCACCGGGCTGTGGAACAGCAGCCACAGGGTCGCCTTCTCTGGTGTGGGGACCGAGTAGGATAGCCTGTGGCCATGGCTCTGCTCTAGGCTTCGGAACCTCCCCTCTGCGGAGAGACCACTACACTTCTCATGCGTGCCCTGGCCAGCATCTGCTGCTCTGGATTCGTCCTTTATGAGGGACAGAAGGTAGCTCATGATACAAAGCATCCCACTGAGCGCGCCTCTCTGCAAGTGCAAGAACAGTTCAGGATCTGGACCTGGATGATCTTTAAGGTCCCTTCCAACCCAAACCATTCCATGATTCCATGATCCACCTTCAAATCCTAAGATCTCCATCAGTCCCATAGCGACACAGGAGGGGCAGACTCAGCCGTCAGGGACCTGCTCGGGGCACCTCGCCCTGACCTGCACCCACGTGTAGGTGCCCAGGACCACGGTGCCTGTGCACAGATCAGTGCTTCACCGCAGATGTGCCCTGTCCCAGGGTGCTCCCAGGCAGCAGCAGAAGCCCTGGCAGCCCATCTCCTCCCCTTCCCTCCCCTCCCCTGCCGCTCCCTCCTGCAGCTGCAGCATTGGCAGTGCCCGGCTGGTCCCTGGGGCGCTGGGGCTCTTTCCATGCAGGTGTCAGCCTCAGCCTCCTCTTTTTCCACAGAACCGGGGCTGTGGGGAAGCTGCCCTCATGGTGCCAGGGCCGGGCTGCCCGGGCACAGCTCCTGTGACCACTGCAGGTGATTGAACCTCCTTTAAACTACCCCGGGGTCAGCAGCTCAGTTCTTTGGGATGGATCCTGGGGTGCCCAGGGGATGGAGGGCGAGCAGGGAGTGCGCAGGAGGTGGCCCTGCTGTGGCCAAGCCCCTCGATCTGTTTCCGCAGCTCTGCCGGTGGGGACAGGCTGCAGAGAGGCTGCTCAGCAGTCATCAGTAGGAAGATGTGAGACTTCGCCAGGCTTCTTAATTAAGCCCCCATGTGGCCTCTTGGAGATTCATCACACAGCACTGAAAACTGCTCCCACCATCCTCACTCCCCTTGGAAGGGCAGGGAGCACCACGAGAGCCTTTGTTTAGGGGGTTTGGACCTCGGTGTGTCAGCAGGAACCCGGAGCTGCGGAGATGCCCCATGCATGTGATGTGCTGCTGTGCCGTAGGGCACCGGGGAGGGCACAGCAGCTGGGTCCCGCAGCAGGGATGTGGATTCATCCTGACTGGAGCCATTCTCTCAGCCACTGATGGAAACGACCGTCCCTCCTTTTGCCTGCTCCCCCCGGGATAACGCCACTCTCCCATGCCTGCTCTTTTGTCCAGAGCCCTCACTGGGATGAGAGCCAGGTCCCTGGGGGACAGATGAGGTCCAGAGATGGGGCCTCGCATGGGGGACCCTAGAGCCTCGTGGGGGGCACAAGAACAGGAGATACCCGAGGGTGTTAGTGCCTTGCACCCCCCTGTCCGGCTCCTGCTGCACCCTGGCTTGTCCAGACCCCGCACTGAGCCCTGCAGCCCCTGCCCTGGCCCCTGCAGGGGCAGCCGGGCGGCACCGGAGCCTGGAGGAGCCGCTTTGTAGAGCCGTAGAAGCTCCTCCAGCACAGAGCCTGTGAGCTCATTTACATACTCCTGGTTTAATTCTCCTAGGGTATGCAAATATATGCAAACAGCAATCCAGAGAGAGTCAGAAATAGCACAGAACATTAAAATCACCCTACTTGAATATTGTTTTATGCAAACGATGTACGCACGCAGTGTGTAGCTGATTTAAATAGAAGCAATGTCAGCATGGCAGTTATTTACCCTTCCAATGATCTTAGCAATTTTTTTTATTAAACTTATATAAAATATATTGAACAGGCACCAAGAACGTAGAGAGTATTTTAATGTTAGCCTTAACTAACGCGAGGAAAAGGGCAAACTTTTCCAGCTGCCTGTGCACAAAGGGCACTTAAGTGTTATTTTTCCTCACTTGCCATTTGCATGGATGGTCTGTGATGTGCACACCCGGATGCTGCAGACACCGATCTGCTGGTGCCATTTCTGCCCTTGTGGTGGGAGCAGCCTTTGTTCCACGGAGAGACCCTTCCATGTGGGGCTGCTTCTGCCTCCACCCTGGCTCCTGCTCCCGTGCGGTGGGATCCTGTTCCATGTGAGCCCTGGGAGCTCACACCTGTGGAAGCCAAGGCTGGGAGGGCTGTTACTGACTTGCTGCTGGAGAAGCAAAGTGACACTTCCTCGTGATCCAGGAGGGCAGCCTCTGAGGTGACAGCACCCCCCAGAATGCACGTCCTCAAGGGGCTGATGCCCGTGGCTGGATGCAGAGGGCACAGGGCTGGTCCCTCCATGCCAGTGGGTCCCAGGGGCGCAGGTCTGCACACAGGGTGCTGTGTGGGGTTAGCACCACTCGGAAGGTCACACATCTCAGCTGAGATCCTTTTCAACTCTCCGACTGAACAGCCTTGGATGTAAATAACTCGTTTATAACCATGCCTACACATCGACCTGGCCAGCTTGGCCAGGGATGCAACACCAGCTCTCCGCCTGCACTGGAAAATGATGCCTAAAGCCCCATCCGACGGCCTGGGAGCACTGCAAAGGCCCTGGGCACGCTGTGCCCCTTGTCAGGCCACGGGCACAGGCACCGGTGGGCAGGGAGCAATCCCCAGGTGAGTCCCAGGGTGTGACACAGGGGCACCCCCAAACCTCATGGGAAACCCATGTCCTGCCCTGAGGCTTGCCTTGCTCAGACATCCTCAATGGGAATCTCTCCCCAGAGCTGTGACCCTGGTCCCATGGGGCCACCCCAGGCTCTGTGGGGCACAGGGAGGATGTGGGGAGCTGGGGAGCGGGATGGGTGTGACCAGCCACAGCCCCCCCCCAGCACTCCCCTGTGCATTCAATGGTGCTGACACCCAGACAAATGAGACATCTCCAGACACACGCTCGGCACCTGACCGCAGAGTAAATGAACGTAAAAAGGGAAAGAGGAAGGGGAGTGAATGGGAGGGAGGGAGAGCGTGAGCCGAGCGCGCCGTGCAGATGGCTCTATACATCATGCGACAGACACTATTTGTACTCTATCATGTGCGTGTCATAGAGCTTATCTTCCCCGGCCCCGGCGAGGTGCGAGCCGAGCGGGGAGACGGAGCGGACTTTCCTCCTAATTAAACATCAAGGGCATGACGGATGAGCCCTGCACCGGGCAGCACCCGGGCTCCGGGGATGTGCTCGGGTGCCGGTGCTGCCGACCCTGGGAGATGCCACCAGCCCCTTGTGCACCCCCAGCCCAGGGACAGCGCTGGGCAGGGTCCTGCCAGACCCTCTCCTACGGGAGCATCCCCACAAGGTGAGGGCACGGCGCTGTGCCTGGGCGCTGGGGAGCCTGGGGGGTGTCGCTTGCTTCGTCCTCTGGAGATGCCCATCCACCCCCTTCACCTGCAAACATGCCAAGGAAGCGTCTATCGACTGGGACCCCTCGAGGGCAGAGGAGGTGGATCTGACACTGCTCCTGACACCCGCAGCCTCCTGCCCAGCGAGCCCTTACCCCTCACCAGAGATGCCCCCAGCTCTGCTGCAGCAACCAGAGGCCTTTCCCATGCTGACAGGTCATGGGGGGGCACTGAGTTCTAGGGCTTTTGCTGGATGTTTCTGCAGCGCAGTAAATGCTCCTGAAGTCCTTTGCTCGGGTAAGGCTCCTGCCAGGTGCCTCCACACGTGAGGCTGCACGGCTGAAGACAAGAGTGGGCACAAAATGCCTTTTGTTTGCTCCAGTTTGTTTTCAGCACTACCGTGCCGGTCCCAGGCTGTTTGAGGGGCTCTGCCTGCAGAGGAAATGACGGCACAGAGCAGTTTTTCAATCAAGCTCACAGTTCCAGCACTGTTCCTGTTGAGTTTCGGTTCTGCCTCTGAAGCCCCATCCCCGCAGAGGCAGTTAAACCTCTAGGTTTTAAATACATTTAGAGCAAACCCTCTCTGAAGGCAGCGAGTGCATTACCCTGCCTCTGTGCGGGTCTGAAGGGGAGCATGGGGCTGGACATCACATTGCATTACCAGCACATGCCAAGTGCCTGTGGCCGCCCTGGACATGCAGGTCCCTGGTGCGAGCCGGACCCAGTGCTCTGCTCTCCAAACCCCGCTCACCGCAGCAGCAAGAGTCATGGCCAGCACCGAATCCCCCCTCAGGGGATGTGGAGGCTGGAAGAGCCCCCAGGAGAAACACGGGAAGGAGCTTTCCCCTCTGCCGGGGCTGTCAGTGTTGATGCAGGAGCTGCCTGTCCATTATGTCTGCAAGCGCAGGGAATTACTGTCAGCTGTGTTAGACAAGCACTGCCGTGTCGTGCTAGTGCCTAACTCACAGCTTACACACCGCCTTTTTATCCTCTGTTGGTATTTGGTGTCCTGTTTAGATGTGCATTCACTGGAGCTGGGTGCCTGCACACTGGAAGCAGTATTTAAACAGCAGCAGCTCCCATCGCAAGGCTTGGCTCTCGGGTGTGTTAGAGCAGAGCAGAACAAAACTGATTGGAGTTGAGGAGATTTTCTTTGTCATCCCGCAGCATCCTGGGGTAAGAGAAGAGTCTGGTTGGTGCTGAAACAAACCCTGGATGTGTAAGAGAATTCGCCTGGTGAGGGTGGAATTGCTGCTGGCAGGGGGTCCTGCGTCTGTGCCTCCCTTACAGCTCACGTCAGCCTCGGGGCCCTTCGCTGGGTCCCTGCCCAGAAACAATTTTCTCCTTACCAGGCTGTGGTCGGGAGGGAACCGCTCCTGGGAAGCTGGTGTGCGGCTGCGGGCTGCTGCATCCCAGCCCCGGCTGCATTCCTGGCCGCATTCCTGGGCTGCTCTGCTGGGGGGGGAGAGGGAGGCTGCAGCTTTGGCAGCTGGTGTCATGCTCCCAGTGTCTTATTTTAAACCCTTTTGGGGGTGGAAGCTTCACTGCCTACTGCTGGTACTTCTCCCATCACATTCCAGATTAGTGGCTTCCTGATTGGCAAGGTGGGAAGCATCTCCTGTACGAAGGGCTGCTGTCAGGTCCCTGCAGTCTGGTATTGTGCCACATCTGCCCTCACCGGGTACCTCAGCAGTGCCTCCAGCCCCGTTCCCATGGGAATGCCGATGGGGCAGAGGGTACCAGAATCAAGCATAACCCTCCCTGCCCAGGGCAGCCCCAGGAGCGCACCTACACCCCAGGTCTGTGCCCTACAAGTGTGACTAAACAGCTCAGGTCCAGGGCATCACGGGGAAAAAGCAGTGTCTCCAGGAGACCCACAACAGCAGTTACCCGTGTAGATGCCGGTGGTTTTATCACTCGGAGCCTTTGGAGTGGTTTTCAGCTGGGACCCGGTGTTTATTCAGGGAGATCCTTGCTGCCGCGACCTTCCTGAACTGCCACATTCCTTTTAATTATGATTGGCAGCCCATGGAAATTCGGGCCCTTGATTGGCAGCTGAAGTAACTTTCTTCCTTCCCACAATTCTTCAGGTTCCTTCCCATCAATAGACATAATGTTGGCTACTTTTCTGGGATAAATAGCAACCTTTGCCCCCCTCCTTTATTTGGCAAACGCTCAACACTTCATTCTTTTCAGAAAGCCCCTTGGAATGCAGTTGAGAAGGGCCTCAGCAGTGCTGCCCTCCTCCTCCTCCCCATCCTCCTCCTCCTCCTCCCGCCGCTCCTCAGCGCCTGGCCGGGGGACTTTTGTGCGAGAGCAAACAAAGGCTCATTGGCAACACTTCTGGATTTCATTTCAAAATACATTTGTCACTCCGGAATAAAATAAACGGAATTTTCTGCTGCTTTTTTTCTTGCTTGACTCCTCCCTCAGGTTTCTTGCGAGCAGCTCCGGTACTGAGATTGCTGGACAAAGATTTCCAAAGAGTAAATGGCAGCGGATGCTTGCTCCAGGGCTGCTTCCCTTCATGGCTGTTCTGCAAAGGGGCTTCCATGCACAGCAGCTCCATGCAGCAATGCAGTTAGCATGTCCCCCCAGTGCAGTTTGCATGTCCCCCCAGTGCAGTTAGCATGTCCCCCCAGTGCAGTTAGCATGTCCCCCCAGTGCAGTTAGCATGTCCCCCCAGTGCAGTTAGCATGCCCTCCCAGTGCAGTTAGCATGTCCCCCCAGTGCAGTTAGCATGTCCCCCCAGTGCAGTTTGCATGTCCCCCCAGTGCAGTTAGCATGCCCTCCCAGTGCAGTTAGCATGTCCCCCCAGTGCAGTTAGCATGTCCCCCCAGTGCAGTTAGCATGCCCTCCCAGTGCAGTTAGCATGTCCCTCCAGTGCAATTAGCATGCCCCCCCAGTGCAGTTAGCATGTCCCCCCAGTGCAGGTAGCATGTCCCCCCCGTGCAGTTTGCATGTCCCCCCAGTGCAGTTAGCATGCCCTCTCAGTGCAGTTAGCATGTCCCTCCAGTGCAGTTAGCATGTCCCCCCAGTGCAGTTAGCATGTCCCTCCAGTGCAGTTAGCATGTCCCCCCAGTGCAGTTAGCATGTCCCCCCAGTGCAGTTAGCATGTCCCTCCAGTGCAGTTAGCATGTCCCCCCAGTGCAGTTAGCATGTCCCTCCAGTGCAGTTAGCATGTCCCCCCAGTACAGTTAGCATGTCCCCCCAGTACAGTTAGCATGTCCCCCCAGTGCAGTTAGCATGTCCCCCCCGTGCAGTTTGCATGTCCCCCCAGTGCAGTTAGCATGTCCCTCCAGTGCAGTTAGCATGTCCCCCCAGTGCTGTTAGCATGTCCTCGCAGTGCAGTTAGCATGTCCTCCCAGTGCAGTTATCATGTCCCCCCAGTGCTGTTAGCATGTCCCCCCAGTGCAGTTAGCATGTCCCTCCAGTGCAGTTAGCATGTCCCCCCAGTGCTGTTAGCATGTCCTTGCAGTGCAGTTAGCATGTCCTCCCAGTGCAGTTATCATGTCCCCCCAGTGCAGTTAGCATGTCCCCCCAGTGCAGTTAGCATGTCCCCCCAGTGCAGTTAGCATGTCCTCCCAGTGCAGTTAGCATGTCCTCCCAGTGCAGTTAGCATGCCTTCCCAGTGCAGTTAGCATGTCCCTCCAGTGCAGTTAGCATGTCCCCCCAGTGCAGTTAGCATGTCCTCCCAGTGCAGTTAGCATGCCTTCCCAGTGCAGTTAGCATGTCCCCCCAGTGCAGTTAGCATGTCCCCCCAGTGCAGTTAGCATGTCCCTCCAGTGCAGTTAGCATGTCCCTCCAGTGCAGTTAGCATGTCCCTCCAGTGCAGTTAGCATGTCCTCCCAGTGCAGTTAGCATGTCCCTCAGTGCAGTTAGCATGTCCCTCCAGTGCAGTTAGCATGTCCATCCACCCTGTGCTCCTCCTTCTCCCCGCTGAAAACCCAGGCTGCTCCTATGACCTTCTCCCTCTGGATGCGGTTCTGAGCTCAACCAGCACCCATCAACCCCCAACCCAATAGAAACTTTTAGCTCTTAAGATACTTTTCCAAAGCCACCCGAGTGCTGCAGTGGCTCAAGCCACAGCCAAGCGCTGATTTGGTTCACAGGGCCTCAATGTCGGCGATTTTCAAGAACAAGGTCATTTTTGACCATGGGACTTGGGCTTGGAGTTCCTGGAGCTGCCCTCAGGAAGGGCTGTCCGTGCCCTGGGGTGTTTCTCGGGGTGTCTGCCAGGGCACGGAGCTGGGTGCCAGGCCTGAAGCTGTCATGGGCAGTGCTGCCACCACTCACCCAGTGTGTCAGTAAAGAAATGAAGCTCGGCCCCGGCTCCTCAGCGCTTCTTGTGCTCAACAATAGTCAGAGACAGAAGGATTTGAAAAGTGATGAAGAAAATACTTGAAGGCTGTATTTTAAAGGAAATGAGGAAGCTCCCGAGCTGCAGAAATTGCTTGTGTGCACAATAGAGACATTCACCCCTCTCCATCAGCTCCAAGCTGAAAGTGTTTTAAAGAGAGATGATAGACCTCGACACTTTCTGCTTCTCAAGAGCAGGGTGGATGAGGAGACAATTAGCAAAACGCAGCAGCATTTGCATTTTCAGGAATCCTTGACGGATCCTTACCCTCTGCTGGAGGAAACGGGGGGTGGAAGAGGCAGCCTCGCGGGGTGAGCCCCGAGAGCGCAAGGTCCCTTCTGGAAATGCCAGGCATGTCTTTTAGCACGGAGCAGCCCAGGTACCGCCTCCGTACAAGACAGTCACAAAAACTTGGGCACATTCACGAGGATTTGCTCCTTCACAAGCTCCCCGTGGCTCTTTCCGGGTGAGTCCACATCCATCAGACTTCCGGTGAACTTCTAAGCGCCCGGCTTGATTGCCTCTCTTTGTTCTGTGCTGTTCGCCATTAAAACCCATAAAGCTGATTGTCCGTTTGCCGCGGGCCGTGCAGCTCAAGGAGGGCTGGTGAGCAGTCGGGTTCCCCGGGTTCTGCCTGCGGGAGACCCGCGCTGCTGCAGAGCGGGCAGGATGCGGGATACGGGCGGCCGTGGGGCTGCAGCCGCTGTTTGCAGGACTCGGGGCTGTGGGTGCTCCCTCTTGCCGCATCTCCCCTCACCGCACACAGACCGACCATGCTCAAATTCACAGGAGAGGAAAGCCACGGAGCAGCCGGAGGGGCCCATGTGCTGTTAGTGGAGATGCATCTTCCCCTGTTGTTGCTTGCAGCTTGCAGGAACTGTGGAGAACCGCAGGGACAGGAACCAAAAGGGGCTCTGCATCCTCCCCCCCCCCCACCGCAGGGCTTGGTCCAGCCCCCCCGTTCCAAACCGAAATCCAGCCCCAGGTGCCCCGTTTTGCTGTTCCCCGTTGCCAACCTCACCCTGCACGGAAAGAAGAAATCCAGGGGGGATGAGGTGTCTGAGTGCGGCCATCCAGCCCCGGCAGCCCTCCCCACAGCCCCACAGGCACCGGTGGCTTGGGAACAGGCCCTTGTTTCTTGTGAGCTTGTCTCTCACCGTCTGGTGAGACCATCACCATTTGGCACTGAGCTCTGCCAAAGGTCTTCCACGGCTGGGACAGTTGGTAAGAGCCTCCACTGGTGCCTGTACTCTGTGTGGTGATGGGTGAGCCCAGCCCTGGGCGCCCCATGCAGGAGCCCTCCCTCATGGAACAGCGAGGAATGTCATTGTCCCACACTTCTGTCAGATTTGGTTGAGATCTGTCAGGAGATTAGGAAGTTATTACAGCAGACATGTAGCCAGCTAGAGACAGCATGGACAGCCCAATCACAGCAATTGCATTTCATTAGAGACTGAGCTAAATCCGTGCTGGATCTTACCCACCTCTCCCCACAGCCCTGATTCGCTCCCCCTTTCCATGTCTATGCTCACTGGACAGACTGGTTTCAATAAACCGGAGATCCCAAAGGTGCTGTGAGCCTGTCACTGGGTGAGAGGGCAGTGCAAAAAGGAATGAAGAGATGATGATTCTGGGGGACTGCACATCCTGCTTGGTTTGAAGGGGAGAAGGAAGGGAAGCTGGATCCGTGGCTGGAGGGGTTCACTGGGCTGCTCCTCAAACGGGGCTTTTTATCTACAAGGAAAAGGTGTGAATTCTGTGGTAGGGCCAGGATGTGTCTGGGTTTGTGCTACCACGGTGCTGAGCAGAGGGCTGTGGGTCAGACCTGTGCACACACCGGGGTCCTGGAGTCGGGCAGGATAAACACCAAGGTGCATAGAGCCACTGCCTCACATCCGAGCGGGCAGGGCAGGTTTGGTGCAGCGAGTCGGAGAAAGGATGGGCTGGTCCTGGGGAGAAGCAGAGCAGGGTTGGTGTCAGTGAGGAGAATGGGATGGGTGGTGTTTGTGTGAGGAAAGAATTCCTTGCAAAGAGACAGAAACCAAGAAGAACAGAGCTGGTGCTGGCCCGTGGTGTCCCTGCGCAGGCAGCAGGATGGGTCCCCCATCCCTCTGGGCAGCTGTGCTGGAAGGGGCTCGAGAAGGTGAGAGGCAGGGGAGGAGAAGGAGGGTTTGTATTCTGGCACTGGCCAACACTCCCAGCTGTGGAGTGCTCCCTCTGTGCTGGGGACTGCTTAACATGGAGCTAAAAATACTCCTTATCCCAGAAAGCTTGTTAGTAGAGCTGGGTCACAACAGATGGATACAGACGGGTGGGGAGAAGAGGAAACAACAAGGCAATACCAGTAGCATGATGTGCGCTCGCTAAAGCACAGCAGCAGCCTTGCTGTGCAGGCAGCAGAGAATCTCGAGGAGTGTTTTGGTTCCTTTGGGATGCTCACAGGTTGTTCGTCTGAAGCATGACAGCCAGCATGAGACAACACACTTGTTTGGAAACCCGGGAAATGGTTGATGAGAAAAGGAGCACTTGTCTGTTCCTGGTTCTGTGCGGACAACGAACATGCTCCAGCATGAGTTGGGAGCAAGCAGGCTCTGGCTGAGAGCTGAGCAGCCCTGTCCCATGCCATCCCATCCAATGCCATCCCATCCAATGCTATCCCATTCCATCCCATCCCATTCCATGCCATGC